AAATCGTTCACTAGGACGGACCGCGATGGTTTTATGGTCTCCCATCAAAAGAGACATTTTCACTGCAGGAAAACATTTAGGGATTATCAGAATTTTACACTTTTAAACATAGACTAACGACAATATTTTCCATATAGAAGTTTCAGAGCGTCTGTCCTACAAAACGATTTTTCACATTTGTACATGACCACTTTTTCAACAATTTTCTATGATATTAGTATTTATTTAGAGTTAGGTTAGGTTAAGGCACTTTCTTGGCCGTGCGCTGCGGCTAGGACAGGCTAGGGGGCCGGGCGCCGCGGCTAGGACAGTCTAGGGGGCCGGGCGCTGCGGCCACATGATCAATTACACAAAATGTACAAAATTGATGGGAGGCGGGGGGTGGGGGGTGTCCAAAAATCGTACTCTAGGAAACTACCTAGTTATGTCCAATTTACAGACCTAATAGATAATCAATCATCACAATACTAAAATTTAGATGAAAAGTGGAGGGATATTACTGATGTGCTGATGTAGCATTATAAGTTTGCTTCATCTTCTCTATCGTGTAGTAAACTTCATAAAGATTTGCCAAATGTTTTTTGCCACTTAATAAATTTATTCGAGATAAGTTATTAAATTTCGAGAGCTCATCTAGCTTTAGGTTATTCTGGAAATTATACAAGCTCTCCCGAGTCTTGATATTTTTGATTAAAAAATATGCAAATTGTTTAAACCCAAATATGATTTTTATAGGAACAGGAGCAGGAGATGGTTCGATCCACCTCTGGAGGTTAGAGGGACAAACCTTGGTCCTCAGTCCATTTTCTCCCAAAGGAAGTAAGTTTGGACTTTTTCCTTCAAAATTGTAACCCTTCATTTTTCGGGTGGCATATTAGATTCACCCTATAAACCAGTGCTGAGGATCCGCAAGATGTTGGCTTCTTGGATCCGGATCCGAATCCAAGGAGTAAAATATCAATCTTAAACTGCAAAAATAAATAATTTTACTCTCTAAACCCAAATCTGGACTATTGATAAAAGAGAGATTTTTTAAAAAAATCTGATTTTTGAATGGTTCATCAAACTTCAGCATAAAATAAACGAAAATATAAGACAAAACACTTGAAAATTCTGCTTTGTTAAAAAATTTCAGTAAATCTCTTAGAAATTACATGGATCCGGATCCATGTTTTTCCGGTGCGGATCCAGATCCGCATTGAAATTAAATGGATTCAAAGCACTGCTTTTAATGTTTTTCTTCTCGGCGATGGGGTAGAAATCTATGTTATTTTAAAATTTAAAATCGAAAACCCAGGTGTACTGTACGTTAGTGCAATAGAGTAAAACGCAGCAATCTTGACACATTTAAAAAAATCTACGGTCAGTTTTTACAAAAGAATATATTTTCTGTGACACCTGGTAACCAAAATCTAATACATTTTCGTTACAAAACAGTTTGCAAACAAGGTTGACACTTACTAGGGTTCGGTTTAAGGTTAAAGGTGGTGAATCGGACATGCCAATCTTAAAAAAAAGAATTAATTTAAAGTATGTCAACCCTGCATTCAAGACAAAAAGAAGTCAAAAAAATTTACTGATGGGGTAAGGTGGTATGACTCAAAATGACAAGATACAGGGATGAGAACATCATAAATAAGATTTAAAATGAGAAAAGAGCAAAAAAACTAGATAGTGGAAGAAATAAGCTCTAATTTTTTCCTCAAATGTTAACCTACTCTATACTCTTTAGAACACAACTACTCAGTAAATCATGTTGAATTCTCCCTCTACTCTTCCGAATTCCTCTCTGCGTCTTCTGATGGAAATGTCATTATCTGGGATTCTGCCTCAGGTTTAGTAGTTCACCTTCCTGTCCTTCCTATCCTAAATCTTTTTAATTTTTTTCTGTCGGAAAATTTTATTTAAGAACGTGTTTTGTTCATTCTCGTATTGTTTCACTTAATTTTTTTCAATGTGATTTTAAGCCACAACTACAAGTTATACGAGTTTCATCAATGAGTCTCAAGAAAAACCTTTAAGATATTAGTTCTTTAAAAGAAGTGCCAAGATTAATTTCTTATGTTTTTTTGGGTTTATAATTTGTCATAAAAAAATACAAAATAAACGTCCAAAAAATTTATTTGGACATTAATCTAAACATTTTTAATTAAATGTTAATTTTTCATACTCCCTTTATGCAGGTGAATCTTTGAGAACTCTTTCGTCTTCCTCCTCACCCAGTGTTAGAATAGGGGTCTTCTCCCCAGACTCTTCTCTTATAGCTACAGGTTAATATTCACTATTCAGTACACGCCATCCTTGATCAGACCTCTCATCTTCATTTGATAGATTTTCTCTTGAACTTGGTGGCGTTTCCTCTAATTTGGGTAACTTTTCCCCCATATTTTTGGAAAAATTTCCCATTAATTTCGTTCGCTTTTTCCCAAATATTAGGTTTTCCCAAAAATTTGGAAGACTTTCTGCCAAATTGGCAATTTCCCCCCCTAATTTTGCTTGTTGTTGGTATATTTCCCCTAAATTTTGAGATTTTCCCCATAACATTTGATAGGTTTTCCCATAACATTTGATAGGGTTTCCCATAACATTTGATAGGGTTTCCCATAACATTTGATAGGTTTTCCCATAACATTTGATAGGTTTTCCCATAATATTTGATAGGGTTTCCCCTAACATTTGATAGGTTTTCCCCTAACAGTTGATAGGTTTTCCTCTAACATTTGGTAGGTTTTCCACTGATTTCGGAAAATTGGCATTTTACCCAGTATTTGGCCTGGTTTTCCAAAATTGGCTGATTTAGCTAAAAATTGAAGTTATCCCTTCCTAACTTCTTTCTTCCATGTTTCAAATTCTGGGAGAAACCTTCCCCTACACAGTACACTCTGTCGTCTCTGACAATTTGCCTATTGTTTTTGTTTGTATTTAATCTTCATGACAGAAACAATCTCAAGAACTGACGAGGGTCAACCTAGACCGAAATATATTTTCAATAAAATGTGGAACTAACATCTACTTTTGTTTCTCTACAGAGGTTTGATCCATCTCCATCACCGAATTTTAAATATATTTGCCTATTGCCGATGTTAATTGTTCAGGAGGAAATGATGAGAAAGTCCATGTATGGAATTTAGGGGACAAGGAATAATGCAATTAATATAATAAACTCAGTTCATACAATCCATCCTATTGTAATTGATTCTCTATTTGCTGCGGAGTAGTTTTTCATTGTGTGTAATTACTGAAGCTATTACGTCGGTCTGGGGATCCCACATTGGGTGTCTTTCACGATCTTTTTCATTTCATTACATGTACTTCCGCATCCCCGATACATAATCTACGAGAACTTTTTCATGTACTCGTTCAAAGCTATACATGATCACTGATGAGTATTGCATGTATCCTATGTACAGAAACTGGTTAGAACAATTACAGAACATGAGTCTACAGTGTACACTATATCCTTCAGTCCTGACTCATCTATCCTGATAAGGTAGAATTATAAGCTTTTTATTTCTTCTATACTTAATCTATGAAACAAATATGCAAATGCTTATTTTTTAAATCCGCCGATACAAATTATTTCTAGAAAACTCTCATTGATTCATTAATATCCGCGGATAGTTTTCACAAATCGTTTTCAACTCTTTAAAGGGACAGACCGGCTATGTAAGGTAGTTAAACTGAGAAAGCAGTTTTGTGAACAAATTCTTTAGGATTCATTTGAGACATATAAAACTTGTTAAAGATATGTAAATCCTGAGTTTGAGCGCAAAGTCGATGTTTAAGATCGTACTTTTAGGTGGATTTTCAGAGTTTTTTTTTAATTATTAAATAACGACAACAAAAAATTTAAACAAAATTCTACAATAAACAAATAAGTTGTTTAGGAACAGGTTGAGAAAATAAAAAATTAATTCTTATCATCGAAAATTAGTAATTTTATTCAATTATTACTTTCTATAATCTCTCTTTAATCACAAAGATTTTCTGGAATTTTTATTAAAAAGACGACATTTGAAGAATTTGAAGAAATCTGCGAACAAATTCATGGAAAATAAGAAATTCAATATAATAATGAAAAAGGAAATAATTAATTCTAACTTCGATTTATTGACAAATTTCTTTTGAGAAATATGTTCCTGAAAATCTAATTAGTTTACTATAGAATTTTTACTATATTTTTCGTCGTCGTTATTTAATAATTTAAAACCCGATTCTGAAAACGTACCCACCCAAGTTTATGATTTTGAACGTCGACTTTGCGCTCAAACTCTGTAATTATACATCGTGGAATCGTTTTATATGTCTAAAATGAATCCTAAAGAATTTGTCCAAAAATACTGCATACTCAGTTTAACTACCTTTAATATGAAAAATAAGCGAGAAAATGTTAATTTGTTTGATAACAGATGAATTCCATAAACGGACAAATGTTTTCATCAGAAATATAGGTTTAAAGGATACTACTGTCAAGCACTTCACATAAATGTCACTTTACAATTTTGAGGACAATCCCTTTATAGTATTTTGTTGTTTTTAGTGGTGACTTTAATGGGAGATTATTGTGCTGGTCAACACATCCTGCCCATCAGGTAGAGATAGATAGATAAACTTAAAATAAACTTTTTATTTAAAGCGATAAATGCGCTGATTCAAAATAAAACTTTTATTTTTAAGGAAAAAGGATGGATTGATAGAAAGATTGAAATTAAATTTTAATTTAAAAAAAAAAGAAATTATATTTTACCATATTTAATATATTTCATAGAACAAAGGTAACTGGAAAATATTATTTTCCATTTTTTACTTCAGAAATTTTAAATACCGGTTTTACTGAGGTAGGTTTTTTTCTTATTCCTAATGCTTTGAACTACATGTCCAGCGATTGATTGATGGATGTATTGATTGATTGTTTGGTGGATTGATTGATTATGAATGGATTGATTGATTGATGGGTTTTAAAGTGAATGAATAATTGATTGATTGATTGTATTTTAGGTTTTGTTGTCTAGTGTTGAGTCTGCCCATGATCTTGGTGTAACCAGCAGTCATTTTAGTCCTCTATACAGTAGGTAACAACCCCCCCTTTTTCTATTTTTTTTTCGTTTTCTTATTATCCCGCCCCCTCCCACCGTATTCATTACATATATTCTTCATATGAAAATTTCCACTAGCATTTTCACAAACAAAATGATTTAATATTTATAAAATATCATTCTTAACATATTAAAGAAGAAACATATTTTGCTAAGGGGGTTGGAAATTGGGGAGATTTGGCGATAATAACTTTTTTTTTCAATTGATTTTTGAAAAAAAAATTTGAAGTTTTTTAGCTTTATTAACCCCAGGGTACCCATTGGTTCCCCCAAAAAATGTCAGCTCATTTGGCTTAGCCGTTTGGCCAGCTATACACTGACAAATAATTATATATGTATATAAGCTAAGAGCTTTATTATATTGGTTATAACATACCGGTTCCTAAGTTGTTCCAATACGTCACACAGGGGAATGACTTTCGATGGTTCGACCGAAAGGAAAATTTGTAAACACTTTTCCGACATTTTTTAACCAAAAATTTATTTAATTTCCCCTGAAATCAGTTATTTACTTAATTCATTGAATAAACCTATTTAAACATCCCAAACATCTTGGCAAAAAATGATTTTCTAAAGAGGAGGATAAAAAGAAAATCAGTTTTCAATAAAATTTTCACCCCTTACTTACACACTTACACACTACTACTATTCTTATTACCCATGTCCAGGAATCTTCTGGAGTGTACATATACCTTGAACAATGTACACTGCACCTGTACAATGTACACTGCACCTGTACAATGTACACTGCACCTGTACAATGTTCACTGCACCTGTACAATACACACATACCATGCAGCAAAAATCGTAGAAACATAATATTCTGTAAACTGCAGTACGTTGAACATAATAATGATTTAATGCTGAAAACTTTGACATGATGAAATTATTCATTGAAACTGTGATTCAATTGAATATTAAAAATGTAAAACATGTGCGGAGGAAGCTCAATCGCGTTATATCTATTCTCTCTAATCCTATTAATACATATATTAAACTTTAGACTGTGTGTTAATACGTAATACGATTGTCTTAATCATGTGATAATGATAACATCGTAGGAATTGTAACTACATCAATTCCTGTTAACGTTTTGACATGGGGTATTTTAAAAGGTTAGTTGATTGAGACTCTGCTTTGATTACGGTATTAGAAGTAATTTGGTTCTCGTTGAAACATACAAGTGTTGATCATACCTTGAGTATTGGTATTGATCAATTGATTGCTAGTGTCCGTATTGACATTGATAGTTAAGCTTGTGCCCCTGTGTGGCATTTAGAGCGTGGGATTCAGTCCTGGTTGAACACTGTGTTAGTAGTGAGATTTTGATAGCTACGCTTGTGTCCTTATGTTGCATTTAGAGCCTGGGATTCAATCCTGGTGGAGTTTGATTGCAGACGGACTGTACCTGAATAGATACGTTTCGAGGCCTTGTTATGGAGTAGGTGTTTACTACATACACACACTTGATTTCTCTTCTTATTGTCCATGTCCAGGAATATTCTGGAGTGTACATACACATTGGTAACTGTTGGGAACGATGGTCTTCTTAAAAAATGGATTCTTAATTCAGGTTTTTTATTTGTTTTATTCATCTAACTTTCCTCTATATCTATCTTGCTCTCATCGCTTTTCAAAAGGATCAGCTCAAACAAATATTATGTCAACGGGCTAATTCAAACAGTCTCTTGACTCAATTAGTGCTCAAACTAGAGAAAGACTGTATATATATACATTCATAAATATTGTACCAGATTTTTATTTTTAAACAACTTATCATATATTTATAAATATACATTAAACAAAAAAATGTAACAATCAATCAATCTTGAAATAAATTATTATTATTATTAATAATTATTATTATCTTTGTAGTTTGGACAGGGGTTCTTATTTTTACAAATTAATCTTTCTCCCAAGTTTGCCTCATTTTGATACTTCTACCTAAAAATCATTTATTTAATTTTTGAAAAAGTGGATGACATGAATTGCAACGGGAACTTTGAATAAATAGATTTATAATATTATCCAGGAGAAAGAAACAGTTTTATATTGAATAAACCGATTTGCATTGTTATCCAGGACAAAGAAACAGTTTGTATTGGATAAACGATTTATCTTGTTATCCAAAACAAAGAAACAGTTTTATATTGAATAAACAGATTTGCATTGTTATCCAGGACAAAGAAACAGTTTTGTATTGGATAAACGATTTATCTTGTTATCAAAAACAAAGAAATAGTTTTATATTGAATAAACAGATTTGTTTTGTTGTTTAGGACAAAGAAACAGTTTTGTATTGGATAAAGAAGTGTTTGTGCACGAGAACACTGCTATGTGTGTGCGGACAAACAAAGAGGTATTCGATTTTAATTTTGATTTGTAAAAAAAAAAGAAGAAAAATGTCTACTTAGTTAAAAAACTAAAAGTAATTTTTTTTGTAACATTCTAGTTTCAAGTATCTCCATTCTAAGAATCGAGGGTGATCATGTTCTGCCCAATTCACAACAGCACCCTTCAAACCTTATCTAATCAATAATGTTGATTATTGTCGAATTTAAATAGTGTTTCATTCTAACAATTTCCATCATTGTTTCTGTTGCAAGTTTCTTTTACAGTAGGATCACTTGAAATTACCATGAAACGAATTTCAATGAAGTATTCTTGAATAAAATATTCATTTTATATATTTTTCAAAGGGAACTTTGGTGGCAACAAGTGGAGGAGATAAAACAATTAAACTTCTGTCTCTTCTTGATCTCAGCTTAATCAAAATATTTACGGGTAATATTCTTTAAATTGTGTTCTCTTCTTGATCTCAGCTAAATCAAAATATTCAAGGGTGAAATTATTTAAATTGTGTTCTCTTCTTGATCTCAGCTTAATTAAAATATTCACGGGTAATATTTTTTAAATTGTGTTCTCTTCTTGATCTCAGCTTAAACAAAATATTTACAGGTAATATTATATATATATTGTGTACTCTTCTTGATCTAAGCTTAATCAAATTATTCACGGTTAATATTATTTAAATTGTGTTCTCTTCGTGATCTCAGCTTAATCGAAAGATTCACGGGTAATATTATTTAAATTCCTTTCTTTTCTTGATCTCAGCTTAATCAAAAGATTCACGGGTAAAAAAGATAAAATTCTTGTCTCTTCTGGATCTCAGCTTGAATTCATATTCATCATTTATATTTGTCTAAAGCAAAATTACATTAAACAATATAAAAGTTTACAAACTAATACTCTTTTTCTGGATATCGCATTTTATACTTGACAGGGTTTGCCAAAAAAAACAGGTGCAATACAAGACTTTTAGCATGAGTATAGTTTAGCTATTCAGAGGTGGTTTTCAGAAATGGAGTTTCTTGGTCCCAGTCTAGTGTTTTCGTTTTCTAAAAATGTGGTATGATGACAGTACTGCAAGGGTAATATTATCTAAATTCCGTTCTCTTCTAAATATCAGCTTAACGAAAATATTCTTTTCAGCTAGACATTCTTTTCTCTTCTTTGTTTACAGCCATAACCAATGTAAATTGGAATTTAAAGTCGTCTTTTTATTCTTCAAAAGATTTTATAAATACAAATTCTGTCTGTTTTGTTTACTGGTTACAAATATTTAATGTACATAACTCCGTATTTCCGAGGAACGCCTTTCAAAATACTACCACAGATGATATTTATAGGATTTGAACCCAGCTTTGCCTGGAAATATAAATATTCCCTATACAAGTCAACCCACTCAACTTAGAATTTCCAAACCAAATAAAAATACATTGCTGTGGTCTTACCGAATTCCCAGATCAAAATTTGAGGCAAATCGGTCCAGAAGTTCCTGAAATATTATCGGACATCCATTTAAACAAACAATAAAACAGTAATTTTTTATTTATAACTAGCTTGGAACCCAGGGTACTCACTACTCATGGTTACTCCTACCGTTTACCCGCGCTTGGTCGTAAATTACAATTTTAGCCATGTTTCCGAATTAAAGTAGACCCACTCAGTTTTGAATCTAAAAACCAAGCTAAGAACATTACCATGGGTCTCCCGAGTTCCCCAATCAAAATTTGAGTCAAATCGGTCAAGGGGTTCCTGAGTTTTTCTGACATTTAAACAAACAAACAAAAATTACTACTTTATGTATATCGTATTTAGATAGCTATAGATTACTATTTAAGAAAAAAATAGATAATATTTCTTATCGTATTCAGGATTTGAACGGTATGTTACGAGCTGCTGTTTCTCTGAGGACAGTAGTTTATTATTTGGAGTATCCAATAGAACTATAAAAGCCTGGCAGCTTGGTACACATGGTATGATTTTAGATTTAATTAGCTGAAGTGCCCGGCATTGCACGTGAAATAAAAAACCTTAAAAAAAAAAACGAACTTTTTCACCCCATGTTTCACCCCATGTTTCACCCATGTGTTTTCTCAAAAAAAATTCCGCCAATTTTGTCCAACTGTTTGCCAACTATAATTAACTAATTAGGAGCGAAGAGCTTTAATNGGGTTGGAATTAGAGAACAAATTATATATTGAACTGTTGTGAGGGTTGGAATTAGAGAGCAAGTTATATTTTGAAATGTTGGGGGGTTGGAATTAGAGAACAAGTTATATTTTGAACTGTTGTGAGGGTGGGAATTAGAGAACAAATTATATATTGAACTGTTGGAGGGTTGGAATTAGAGAACAAATTATATATTGAACTGTTGTGAGGGTTGGAATTAGAGAGCAAGTTATATTTTGAAATGTTGGGGGGTTGGAATTAGAGAAAAAGTTATAAATTGAAAACAAATAAACCTAGACTTCACACAGTTAATAATATATCATGAAATTACACATTTTTCTATACTAAAACTTTTAAGTACAAAAGTAAAGATTAGTTTTATTATTTTAATAAGCTTGTCCTGTATTATTAAAAACTGTTTCAACCCTTAAACATAATTTCAAGTGGCCCTCGATGCAAAGAAGGCAATGCCCGATTCACAATGGTACTTCTTAAAGCGTTGTTTGATCAAATTTGAATTATATAATGTTTAAAATTTGAAAACTGAGTTTTTTAAATTGTGCTTTCTGTACAAAAGTTACTTGCGCATTTCTACTGCAAGAAAACATAGGAATTATCAGAATTAAACACTTCAAACCCCAGAATAAAAACGACATATATCTTTAACATTCCTGATCAGATAAAGGTTTCAAGGGTATCATTGTGAATTGGGCATTGTCATCTTTCAATTGAAGGTTTATTTCAAATTACGCTTACAGTCCCTTAAATCTCTTAAAAAGCTGAAAATTTGATTTGATTTCATTTAGAAAATAAATCCCATGAATCCGACCAAACAATTACACAATCTTGCTTCAGATCGAATAGAATTAGGTAAGTTTTGCTATGGGATAAAATTAATAATATTATAGTATGTTGTTAATTCCTTTGCCCCCTCTTTTTTAAACTTTTTGCCCCAAATATCATTTATTTGATAATTCAGCGAAATAAATTATAAATAATACAATCATTACATTAATTCATCTTTCTGGAGAGCAGAGAGGTTGTGACAATTCAATTTTAAACAAATTTTATACTTCTGAAATATTAAAGTTTGGGGAAAACTTTTTTTTGAAGGGGGAGAGATGATCTTTGAGAAGTTGGGGGGGGGGGATGATTTTTAATGAAGGGGGAGAGATGAATTTGGAATAGGGAGGGGGAGATGATCTTTTTGAGGAAATGGTGTGGGGGGTGATTTTTTTCAAGAAATAAATACCCCTGTGGTTGAAGGTATGAGAGTATAAGTATACCCCCGGAGTTCCTCTGCCCTATCACCCAGGAGTTGATGGAGAACCCGGTCAAGGCTTCAGATGGATTCATCTACGAGCAGATTGCAATCCAGGTTGGAGTAATCAAGCTGCTGGGGCACATATCAGTATTTTTTTTTAAATCTCCCTGGGGGGGTAGAGGGTCATCTTTTAGATAAACCTGTTAAGTGAGAATTCCTCCTTGAGATTTTTCTCAAATTGACGAACTTTCTCCAAAAATGCGAAATAATATTTAATTAAATATTTCCTCCCCCTGTGGTTGAAACTGATGAATATATTCTCCAGGAATGGTTGATTACAAGAAGGATGACCTCTCCTATGACGAACCTAGAGCTAAAGGATACAAACCTTATCCCCTGTACACAGCTCAAGATACAGATTCAACAGTTTATTAGAAATTATAATAGAAAGGGTCCTGATCATGTACAGGGGTCTGATCATGCACAGGATCCAGATAATGTACAGGGTCCTGATCATGTACAGGATCCAGATAATGTACAGGGCCTTGACCATGTACAGGGTCTTGATCATGTACAGGGTCTTGATCATGTACAGGGTCCTGATCATGTACAGGGTACTGATCATGTACAGGATCCAGATAATGTACAGGATCCAGATAATGTACAGGGGTCTGATCATGTACAGGGTTATAATAATGTAGAGAATCCTGATCATGTACAGGATCCTGCTCATGTACAGGGCCTTGACCATGTACAGGATCCTGCTCATGAACAGGGCCTTGACCATGTACAGGGTTCTGATCATGTGCAGGATTCTGATCAATGATAATGTACAGGGTAAAACTACTTAAAATTGAACAAAATCATAATCTACATATTATCTAGAACAAACATGTGATTTTAAACTGTGATTACAAATTAAAAAAATTTTATTATTCACAAAACAGGTGCTTTATAACTCATGTATTGTATGTTAATATTAGACAATTTTCAGGAATTAGAAAGTTATTATTTACTAGGCTTTAAGGTAACTTAACGCCCATCTTCTATTTCAATTGTGAACATGTTCACTTTTTACACATTTTAAAACAAAAACAAACAAAACATTTCGCGGATTCTATAAAAAAAAAATTCGTGGATTTTCAATATTCGAATTTTGTTAGAGGCAAATTCTTGAAAATTCGATCATCCATAAACCTTCCCTGGGTCACGCGAGGTCCCACAACAAAATTGGGCCCAATCGATTCAGCCGTTTTGACGGTTATTGGATACAAACAAACAAACAAACAATCACTCACCAGGACAGGCAAAGTCTATATATAGAATGGGACTGCAAATGTGATTTCAAATGACCAGACACTTGGTCTCTTGACATTACATCTACACTATATAGTCCCTTTAATGAAACTTTAAATATGTTTAAGAATGTTAATTGACTATTTTTATATTTTTTTAATTTCAGAAACTATGGCTTAAATACCACAGTGCTGAGTGCACAAGCCTACGGGGTACATATTATTCTATATAAAATTCATTAGAAAGAAAACACTAAATTGATTGATTGATTGATTGATTGATTGATTGACTTTCTGATAGGTTAATTTATTGATTCTCTGATTTGTTGATTGATTTATTGATTAAGTGAAGTATTGATTCGCTGATCGATTGATTTATCAATTTAACCCAATATCTGGTAAGTTCCAAGAGAGCCCCGGCCCCCCCCCCCTCCCATCAATTTTGTACATGGATCTTAAATGTAAGACATGTGGCCGCAGTGCTCGGCCCCTAGCCTGTGATAGCCGCAGCGCTCGGCCCAGAAAGTGACTTAACCTAACCCGTGGCCGCAGCGCTCGGCCCCCTAGACTGTCCTAGCCGCAGCGCTCGACCCAGAAAGTGTCCTAACCTAACCTAACCCTAAATAACAAAAAATAAATAATAATAAATTTGCTGAAAAATAAGTGGTCATGTACAAAATTGATAGGAGGGGGGGGGGGTCCAAAAATCGTTCTCTAGGACGGACCCCAATATCTATTGATTGGTTGATTCATCGATTCACTGATCACTGATTGGTTGATTGATTAATTCACTAAAAAAAATGATTGATTGATTGATATTTAGATCTTGTTATGTCACTCTCCCTCAAACCCTTCTTCAATATGCCATGCCAGGTGACATTATTTTCTTCTAGATTCTTCTGTACTAACATTAAACTTCTAAAACAAGAACCTTAAAATACGGTTTCTTTATCTTCATTTCGTGAACAAAAAGTTATTTTTATAACTTTTTATTTGTTTCTTCTTAGTTGTATTCGCAATAATAAGACTTCATTTTGTTGTATTCGCAATAACAAGAATTCATTTGTTGTATTCGCAATAACAAGAATTCATTTGTTGTATTCGCAATAACAAGACTTCATTTGTTGTATTCGTAATAACAAGACTTCATTTGTTGTATTCACAATAGCAAGACTTCATTTGTTGTATTCGCAATAACAAGACTTCATTTTGTTGTATTCGCAATAACAAGACTAAAAGACAATTTTTATCACTATGGCTTGGATTATGGAAGCGGAAATAATGCTTAGGCCATATTTTTAATTGCCAAGGGACTGTAGACATAATTTCTTATGTTGCAGAGACAATTAAGGAAATTGTCGGAATACCACTCATTTTAGCAACGACATGCTATTCTTGAAAATATGCGAAGTATAAAAAGGAGATTTATTTTAAGGAACAGCTAACTGTGATAGAGCCGCGTAGAACCAGTAGTTCCCGCTCCAACTATCATGAGATAGAGCCGCGTAGAGTTGGCTCAAGAACTAGTTTAACCAACCAAGCTCTTATTTTTAATGGTAAGTTAAACTTTTTAAAAATCCCAAATAAAGTGAGCTGAGATCTTTTGAATGGAGAAATGTTTTTTCTCTAAAGTTATACCCCATAATAAATTGGTAAAATTCATCAGTATCTCTTATTTGTCAAATCTCGAGCGATTTGATGTAAGAGAAATTTCTTAATCTTTCCATGAGGAGGCATTTAACTTGTTTCATCCATTAAAAAAGATAGAGCTCTGTTTTTGAATATGTGTTTAAAATATTACCAACAATCTGTGTAGTGTGTAATGTTTATACCTTCATGAACCATGACAAAAAGTTCATTAATATTTTGTGATTTTGCTAAAGCCAAATATATACTAGCTAGTGCTGAAGGGCCCGGCGTTGCCCGTGGAAAAAAAAAGTTTTTTAAAAAATTTGGAAATTTTTTTTTTTTTTTATTTCGAATTTTTGTTAGCCTATAACACTCCCCGGCCACCCAAGAGTGTCCACAAAAAATGCTATACGCAACATATATATATATACGAATGTCTTGTTTATTATATAGATGTAGGCTAGCTTTTAGGCGATTTAGAATAATTGTTCCCTTTTGAGATGTGGATGGCGGGAAAAACAATTCAAGATAGAAAAACTACGATTTCTTCCTCATTTTTTTATCAGATAAAGGCTTAAAGAATACCTTTGTGGTGAATCAGACACGATTCTTAATAAAAGAATGGTAAACTAGAATTACATCCATTTTTTTATGTATGATTTATAATTTTAGGGAACATAGCTCTGACCAGACTTGTGACTACTCTAACCGAATGGTTGGTTATACTACAAGGTGAGTTATTTTACTCTTTCATTCACTCATTTATCCACCATTTCATTCATTCATTCATCCTTTCATTCATTTATTCATTCATTCATTTAGTTATTAATTTATTCATTTATATAATCATTCATAAATTCATTTAGTTGATTTATTGAATGATTGGTAAATATACGTGATTGATCAATTTACGTGATTGATCAATTTATGGTTTTCCGATTTTGTTCATTAGCTAATGATTTATCTCAATGATTGATTTAAATAATGAAATGGTTATAATTTTAATTGATCGGTTAGTTTGTTGGTTTGTTTGTTGGTTGGTTAATTGATTGATTGGTTAATTAGTTGGTTGGTTAATTGATTGGTTAGTTAGTTAATTGATTGGTTAATTGATTGGTTGGTTGGTTTTTTTGATTGTTTTGTTGATTTTCTGATTGATTTATTGATTGATTTATTGATTGATTGATTGATTGATTGATTGATTGATTGATTGATTGATTGCCTTACTGACTGAATGATTGGTTTATTGATTGATTGATTGATTTATTTTTTGTTTGATTGATTAATTGATTGTAGGTGTAGCTGAGGACCGTGAGTGTGACCGGCCCAATGTGAAGTGTCGTTGCTGCAAGGAAACTATCTCAATCTTAATTCTTTACAACAACCTTACAAGTCTGAACGGGACTAGAAACCTATTCTCCATTAATAAGTTGCTTGTTCAATTCACAACGGTGCCCTAAAAACCTTCGTTTAAAAAAAATGACTCAGATATTCTATCTTAAAATTTTTAATTTTTACTTGTGGGCTTTCTACGATTTTGCGACTTGAATTTGACTATTTCGGACCTTTCAATTTATAATGAAAAGTGTTATGAACTCGCACAAAAATCCTTTTAAAAAAAATTCAGGAGTTTTTTGGGTGGTGGGGGAAAGTTTACGCCCCTGAGTATTGAAAAAAAATAATTTTCCTCGGACCTCGAGTCGACATCCAACTGCCTTGAATTGAGAGGGTTGTATTGTCTAGGCAGCTAAAATACAAGAGGAACTGCGTCTACTTGCCTCTAAACTGAATAATGCTCAACAGGTTTATTTTATTTAGAAGACATTTTAGTTGTACTCGTTCCTAGCATTGTCCTTATCTGTGTTTTTGTCGTCGTCTTCTTCCTGTCCCTGTCATTGTACATTATTCTGTTACCTTTCATAGTTCTTGTCCTTGTCATTTTTTTTGTCTCTATCATTGTTCTTGTCCCTATAATTGTTCTTGTCCCTGTCATTGTTCTTGTCCCTGTCAGTGTTATTGTCCCTATAATTGTTCTTGTCCCTGTCATTGTTCTTGTCCTTGTCAGTGTTATTGTCCCTATCATTGTTCTTGTCCCTATCATTGTTCTTGTCCCCATCATCGTTCTTGTCCCTATCATTGTTCTTGTCCCTGCCATTGTTATTGTCCCAAACATTGTTCTTGTCCCTATCATTGTTCTTGTCCCTGCCATTATTATTGTCCCGGTCATTGTTATTGTCCCTGTCATTGTTTTTGTCCCTGTCATTGTTATTGTCCCTGTCATTGTTATTGTCTGTCATTGTTCTTGTCCCGCTCATTGTTCTTGTCCTTGTCATTTTTATTGTCCCTGTCATTGTTATTGTCCCTGTCATTGTTATTGTCCCTGTCATTGTTCTTGTCTCGCTCATTGTTCTTGTCCTTGTCATTTTTCTTGCTCCTGTCATTGTTCTTGTCCTTGTCATTGTTGATATCTTTCCTTGGTCGATCCCAAGAAAAACTCGTCTTTCCTAATTTGTTCGGAACGGTTGAGGATCTTTATTTCCGAAAAATACTTGTTATTTGGTTTCATTATTCCTTTATTCCCTTTTCCATTTTCTCCCCGGGGGGGGGGGGGGGGTTCTTAAAAATTAAATGTCCCCCAGGTAGTATTGCATTAATATAATATTTAGATCTGCTCAAGAGTTGGTATGATAGGAGAAGATGTTATTGACGAAATATCTCTCCTTGTCCAAAATCTAGCAACAATGCTCAGGTTAGTTCTAGGAGGGGAGGAGGTGGTAGGAGAGGGAGGGAGGTAATATGAGGGAAGATGGGGAGGAAGGAATATGAGAGTAGTAATACAGTTGTCTAGATAAAGTAAATGTCCTCTTGATTGCGAACTAACTATCCTAGTCAACACAAACTAGACACAAGGGAAGGAAAGGCAAGGAAAGGCAAGGGAAGGAAAGGCAAGGGAAGGGAAAAAGGTGGAAGATGAGATTTCATGGAATCGAGATAAGGATGGCGAGGGTTGATGGATGAAGTAGGCAGGGAAGATGGAGGTAGATAGGTAAGGAAGGAGAGAAGGTTGGGGCCGGGTGGTAGAAAAAGAGAGGAAAGGTGATGGTAGTAAGTAAAGCCAGGTAAAGAAGGTAATGGGAGGTTGGGGAATTTGGATTTCCATGCAAAGATGGGCAGTGGGCACTCATGCATTTACACATAGTAGTTCATAGCAGAATTTATTATATATGATTCGTTAGGATCAATTAAATAATTGTAAAAATGCGTTTTTGCGATTTAACTCGCCAAATATAGAACTTACAAGGTAAAAGCATACAACTAATAAGAAACAAAATCCTTTTTATATAATGCTGTGCCTTCAGCTCAACTACCCCTCTATCCCGTCACCCCGTTTAAGATGACCGGCGACTAAGAAAACGTTTACTCAACTGTTGAAATATCTATCTATCTATTAAGATCTGAAGTGTCAATACTTATACCTACCCTGGGACGAGCTGACCCAATGGTTGCTGAGCAGGCGAGGTGGCTGGTGCAGGATAATGAAACTAAGGTGAAGAGCAAATATAAAATTTTCCAATTTAATTGCTATCTATTTATGCAACTGCCTTGTGTAATTATGCGAAACAAAATGTTTTTTGACGGGATTTTACGGGTTTTGCAAGTTTTTTATCTCTTACATGGTATTCGGGATTTTTAAAAAAAAGTAAAAATAAACATATTTTTCGAAATGATAAATCAAGATGGTTGGATAAATAAATTGTTCAATTCAAGTTTAATAAACACAAAATGTGCGATTTTTCATGAAAATCAACGAAATACAAAAGGAACTTGCTTTGTTGGTATAAAATATGATCAGTTTGCCATTTGCAAATATCTTTGACCTCAAATCTGACCTCTGTTTTGACCTCTTCTTCATTTATTTCCTCTAACCTCTATACTTGTAGAACTGTGCCTCCGAGGCTGTAGAAGGAGTTATTACTCTAGTTGTTCGACTTCTAGGCGTAGAATCCTGTCTTTCATGCAAACCATCCCAGGTAGGCATGTGCAATAAGTTGAGTTTTTCGTATACTAGGACAGACCCAGAAGAGCAAATGCTTTCAATTTTGTTTATTCAAAACATTTGCCTTTCTTATACTTTGCAAAATTTTAATCCTGACAGAAAATACATGCAAAAAAGCGAACCAAAAACGATCAATAAGTCAATCTGTTCGTTTTTCGAACGTTTATCCATTTGTTTTTAGTTCAATATTTTGGAAACTTTAACTGAATACAACTGTGAAACGATTAAAAGGTTTAGTAATAGTTTTTTAAACGAACCAAAACGATTAACAGCACTAATCACAAGTAGATTTTAAGGGGTTTATATTTTCTTCAAAAATCATACAATCCCCCCCAGGACCCCACCTTTGTTTTTCTTGAAATTATGGTTTGTAATTAGTGTTACTAATTACACCTCAAACAATTTCATGGTTTTAAAGGGACTGTACGCGTAATTTCAAGTGACCCTCCTTGCAGAGATGGCAATGCCTTGATTCACAACAGTACCTTTAAACCTTTATCTGATCAATAATGTGGAAGATTTGTTCGTGTTAGTGTTTAATTCTGATAATTCCTAAATGGGTTCTTGAAGTAGAATGCGCAAGCTACTTTTGTAGAAAACCCACAATTGAAAATAATCTGTTTTCAAAACTATAAATATTGATAATTAATACTTGATCAGACAAAGCGTTTAAGGGAACTGTTTTGTGAATCATGATGGAGAGGGTGACTTGAAATTACGTCTACAGTCCCTTTAATCAATGTTTTTTTTATTTACAGAGTGATGCTGTGGGTGGTTGGGGTGAGGGAGTGAGGGTTGAGGAGGAAGGAGATGTGGATATGGATATTTTAAACCTAGTTGCTGGAATGTGCAGTGGATATCCTGAACCCCTAGTACCTGCACAAACAAACAAGTAAGTATAATCAAGTTGAGAAGACGAATGTAAAAACCTTGTTCGGAACATTTGTGTGGATATTGTTAATCTTATATGATCCAGGGATGTATATTTTCCTAAAATATTCCCCCACCCCTTTTTTAGAAAATCATTTATTTTCCCCAGAACCTATATTTGGTTTTATTTAGGGGTTTTTCGGTGAATTGAAGTAGTAAATCTGAAAGGGAGGTGTAATTCTGAATAATATACAACCCTGCTTTAAATCTGAAAGGGAGGTGTAATTCTGAATAATATACAACCCTGCTTTAAATCTGAAAGGGAGGTGTAATTCTGAATAATATACAACCCTGCATTAAATTGCTTGATCTCAATGTTCAATGTGTTTTTAATTTGAGGATCAAGTTCTGGCTTCTAAGGCCGAATTTAAAGAATTTGAGTGGCGGCTTAAATTAAAGCCGCGGCTCAAATATGGTTGGTTTCACTTAAAATTGTATTCAATGTTTCAAGATTTAAGCCGGCGCTCAATTGAAACCGGTTTTTGGCGGACTTACGCGGCTCAAATTCATTAAATTCGGACACTGGTTAAAATCTTGTTGATTATATCAAGTTGAATAATAATAATGTTAAAGGGAGGATGAAGAAAATACTCGCGCTCTCAAGGAGAAAGGACTCCAGGTAATACTTTTTTTCATTAAATCATATTTTTTGGGGCAAAAGTATCAAAAAGGGGAGCTTGACAATATTTTTTTTTTTTAATCTTTAAAAATATTAAAATGACAAAGAGTGAATTGTATCGTCAACTTGAAAAGAATTGTACAGGGTCGAGACTGTACAGGGCCGAGACGACTGGATATATTTAGTTTTTTAATCTTACATTTATGATTCTCTGGAGCTGGAAACTTCTACAAAGGGCTATGTTCATTGGTTCAAGGCCAGAGATCAAATTCAATCTTGAAATAGTCATATTGAAGAGTCGGAACCGTATTTTTGAATGACACTTTATGCAAAGAACGCATTGCTTGATTCACAATAATACCCTTAAAAGTTTTGTCTGATCTCATATGAGTTAATATCATTGCCCCCAAAGTGGCTTAAAGCATAAAGGAATTATCATACCTTTTACCCTTGAAAAACAACAATATATTTCACATTATTGATTTGATTTGATCTCAAGGGTATTATTGGGAATCTTGCATGGAGATTAGAGGGTCACTTCGAATTACGCCAACAGTTCCTATAAAAGAAGTTAAGGTTGTGATTAAAGTTTCATTGTTTGAATTACAGGTTTGGGAGAAATCTCGTAAAAGAAAACAGCCTAGACCGGTCCGACATCCTTCACCTTCCTCCACCAGCAAATCAAGAAAGGTGAAGAAAACAGAGGGTCATTTCATACCAACACTTTTTAAAACCATTAAAAAATGCGTTAAAATCAGCTTTATATATCTTAACTGATAACAAAATGTTTAAGGTAGGCTAAGTTACCTTCCAAAAAGGGGAAACTTTAGTAGGACGTTTCTCATAAACCAGATGCAATAGAATTCTGAAATTTTTGATTTTACGTTTTCTTGACATCTTCTGGGTGGCTAACTTTATAGAATTTAACCCAGAAAGGTTTTAATGGGTTTTAACTTATTTTTAAAGAAAGATTTTAGCCTCTGTTAAATATCCCCCCCCCCTTAAAGGGACTTAAGCTTAATTTGTAAGGACCCTCTTTACAAAGATTACAATGCCCGGTTGTCAATGGTACCCTTCAAAGCTTTGTCTAATTATGAACTAAATCAACGTTTACAATTTTGAAAACTGAATATTTTCAATTATGGTTTCTCTACAAAAGTGACATGCATATTTACTGCATGAAAACATGGAAATTGATAGAATTTTACCCTTTTAAATCTAGAAAAACGACAAGATTTTTCAGATTAAGTTTTCAAGGGTACCGTTGTGAATCGGGCATTGCTATTTTTGTATCGAGGTTTATTTTTCCCTAAAAATAGATTTGGTAAAATACCCGATTTGGGTAATGGTTTATCTTAGAGGGAGGAGGGACTTTTTGTCATTCTAATTTGTTTATTGATATGAATACTTGTCAAGGTTGAACCTCTGATAGATTCTACCAGTAGTAGTATTCTTCAACCTCAACCTAACGTTGTTCATCTTCTAGAGAAGAAAAAAAAGGTATTTTTACAATTATTTTTGTTTTTATGCTGTCCTTGTATTATTGTTTTATCATTATTATTGATATTTTTGTTATTTGTATTATAATTGTTGATTAATAGTTTTTATTTAAGTAGTTAGACAGTTTTAGTTAAATACAAAATATTATTTTTTTCAAGAAAAGTCGAAATAAATTTTGTTTCATCAAAACCATTTGATTCAAGTATTTTTACCCGTAAAATCCTATTCTAAGTATGGTGGATATCTTTCAAATTTTGGATCGATTAATTGATGACGGCACTTTTTACGTCATGACAACGTCTCTTTTAACATTTATTTATTTTTTTGATTTATTGGTTGATTGATTGATTGCAGGGTGTGAAGAAAGATGGACTGTACAAGTTTGTTCTTTGGAGAGAAGCTCTCAGAGACGAGAAAGCTAAGAATTCCGATTGATCTAATCAGTTAATCACTAAATCAATTTCTAGAGATTTTGATGCTCAATTGATCGCCCCAGCAACGCCTGGAGATTATTTTAATCAGATTTTGAACTATTAAGATTGAACTGATCAATTGATCATTCTAGCAATCCCTAGAATATTCCTAGAGGTAGATTATATAGATTAATCACTCCGAATCACTGGAGACCGATTTAATCAAGTCAACTCTGGAGATTGATTTTATTAATTGATCACTTCTGCGATCTCCGGTTTGATCGAGGATATCTCAAATTCTGCATTTGTACTCAATAACAATACCTCAAGCGTTTATTTTTGTATTTAAAACTTTTAATTAAAAGATCTCAGATTAGTACATTAATACGTACAGTACAGTACAGTAGAGTACAGTACAGTACAGTACAGTACAGTACAGTACAGTAGAGTACAGTACAGTACAGTACAGTACAGTACAGTACAGTACAGTACAGTACAGTAACAATGTCCAGCTAACAGCACTGTTGAACCTCATAAATTCTTGCCAGAACCATTAAATTGGCAGCTTAAACAATTTCATACTTTTCAGACCAAATGTATAAAAATACATTGATTCCTTTAAAATCTGACTTTACCAGATTCAAATTGATTGTAATTTTAAATTTACATTTCCCCGTTGTATAACTGTAACTTGTGCTAAACCAACTCAATTGTAAAAAAGTTTCTAATTTTATACTTTTTCAGATAAATTCAAATCTCTGATTCTTGTTAAAAATTTCTTTTGTGTAACTTTTCTATTTAATTGTATTTTATGTAAGTAAGCCACCACGGACTAATCAGGGTAACATGCATTTGGTTTTATTCTATTTGAATTTAATCACGTGTTCCTGTAGAATTCAACAATCTTTAAACTTACTGAGTTGTCTCTTTTTATACTTTTTGCTTGAAAAGCATATGACAACGAAATGTAAAAAGGAGAAAAGGCGAAAATATAAATTATATATAAACTGTTTCTTGACCCGAAAGGGGGGAAGAGAGAGTGGTTTAAACGAGTGTCGTCTATTAAGAAAAGAAATCAAAGTATGTCTACATCAGCGTCCATAGTTGGTTTAGGCCTTACTGAAGCTATATTCAGGATGGATGCAAGGATGGTAATGCCCTGAAACCCTTGAAACTTTAATCTGATTAAAATGTGGGAGATACAGCCGTTTTTCTGACTCCAAACGTTTCTAATTCTCATAATTTTTTCATTTCTTCTTATAAGCACGAAATTAACGAGAAATTTCCTCTGAAAATAAACAATTTAAAGAAAGAAAAACATGGATATCTGATTAATACTTGTTCAAATATTTTAAGGGAACCGCTGTACAATCTTAGCACGGAGGGTCATTTGAAATTACGTTTACAGTCGATTAATTTTTCAAATAAACCTGCGTTATTGGCGCAAGAATTAATAACATTCTTACTATTGGTAAATCTAAATATGAATTAGTACATTGAAATCTCTAAGTTAAAAAACACATTCTGAACAGCTAAATAAGAAAAACAGGACCCTGAAATAATGTCCGTTTTTAGACTTATTATTATTATGATCATTATGTATTTTGTTTATATTAACAAATATGTTAAAAATTTAGATATTTAAATATATATATAGTTTAAATGATTACTGACAACAACAATAAAAACCTTTCTTTGTATTCATCTTCTATATTCATACTTTTCTCGTTTACCTGTAAACGGCTGAACCAATTGGGCCCAAATTTTTAATATCAACTCACATGACCCAAGGGAAGGTTTATATCAAACTAGACAAATTAATTTGAAAAAAAATTCGACAATTATAATTTTGGAAAAATCCGCCAAAATTCGAGGATTATTTAAAATAAGTTACAAGCTTTAAATGATGATATGAATAGGAAACGCGAAATGTCCTAAAAGCTATAGTTTATGAAAAAATAAGTAGCCACATCAATTACGTCTTACGAAGGGGAATAGCGAGAAGGGTTTCATAAGTTTTTAACATTTTCTCAGAATATATATAATATAGAATAACAGGTGGCAGCATTTGGTTTGGGACACGGATATATAATAAAATGGATGGATCATAGACGAGTTTCGATGTAATTTTCTGGGTGGGGTGTTATGCAGTACATTGGAGTTCTAGCAGACATATGAAAATGAATGAATATTCTAAGATGAATAAAAATGAAAATGAATGAATATTCTAAGATGAATAAATTTGAAAATGCTTGAATATTCTAAGATGAATAAATTTGAAAATTAATGAATATTCTAAGATGAATAAATTTGAAAATGAATGAATATTCTAAGATGAATAAATTTGAAAATAAATGAATATTCTAAGATGAATAAATTTGAAAATGCTTGAATATTCTAAGATGAATAAATTTGAAAATTAATGAATATTCTAAGATGAATAAATATGAAAATAAATAAATATTCTAGAATGAACAAATATGAAAATGAATGAATATTCTAAGATGAATAAATTTGAAAATGAATGAATATTCTAAGATGAATAAATTTGAAATTGAATGAATATTTTAAGATGAATAAATTTGTAAAAGGATGAATATTCTAAGATGAATAAATTTATGAAAATAAATTAATATTCCAAGATGAAATTAAATGAATATTATAGGTTGAATAAATATAATGCATACTCTTAGATCAATAAATATAAAAATGAATGAATATTCTCGAATGAATAAATATGAAAATAAATGAATATTCTAAGATGAAAAAATATGAAGATGAATGAATATTATAGATTGAATAACTATGAAAAGGAATGAATATTTTAAGATAAATAAATATAAAAATGAATGAATATTCTAGGATTTATGAAAAAAAAAAAAAATAAGTATTTTAGGTTGAAAAATATGAAAATGAATAAATATTTTAAGGTTTATGAATATGAAGATGAATGAATATTTTAGAATGAATGAATATAAAAAGAAATGAATATTTTATGTTAAAAAATATGAAAATGAATGAATATTCTAAGAAAGATGAATAAATATGAAAATAAATGAAATAAATGAATATTCTGAGATGAATAAATTTGTAAATGAATGAATATTCTAGGATGAATAAATTTGTAAATGAATAAATATTCTAAGATGAATAAATTTGTAAATGAATGAATATTCTAAGATGAATAAATTTATGAAAATAAATTAATATTCCAAGATGAAATTAAATGAATATTATAGGTTGAATAAATATAATGAATACTCTAAGATCAATAAATATGAAAATAAATGAATATTCTAGATGAAAAAATATGAAGATGAATGAAGTTGAATAACTATGAAAAGGAATGAATATTTTAAGATAAATAAATACGAAAATGAATGAATATTCTAGGATGTATGAAAATAAAAAGAAATAAGTATTTTAGATTAAAAAATATGAAAATGAATAAATATTTTAAGGTTAATAAATATGAAGATGAATGAATATTTTAAGGTTAATAAATATGAAGATGAATGAGTATTTTAAGGTTAATAAATATGAAGATGAATGAATATTTTAAGGTTAATAAATATGAAGATGAATGAATATTTTAAGGTTAATAAATATGAAGATGAATGAATATTTTAGAATGAATGAATATAAAAAGAAATGAGTATTTTAGGTTAAAAAAATATGAAAATGAATGAATATTCTAAGATGAATAAATATGAAAATGAACGAATATTCTCGGATGAATAAAAATGAAAATAAATGAATATTCTGAGATGAGAAAAAATATTAAGATGAATGAATATTATAGGTTGAATAACTATGAAGAGGAATGAATATTTTAAGATAAATAAATAGGAAAATGAATGAATTTATGAATATAAAAAGAAATGAAAATGAAAATGAATGAATATTCTCTGATGAATAAGTATGAAAATAAATGAATATTCTGAGATGAAAAAAATATGAAGATAAATGAATATTATAGATTGAATAACTATGAAAAGGAATGAATATTTTAAGATAAATAAATATGAAAATCAATGAATATTCAAGGATTTATGAAAATAAAAAATAAAAGTATTTTAGGTTAAAAAATATGAAAATGAATAAATATTTTAAGGTTAATGAATATGAAGATGAATGAATATTATAGAATGAATGAATATAAAAAGAAATGAATATTTTATGTTAGAAAATATGAAAATGAATGAACATTCTAAGAAGGATGAATAAATATGAAAATAAATGAATATTCTGAGATGAAAAAAAATGAAGATGAATGAATATTATAGGTTGAATAACTATGAAAATAAATAAATATTCTAAGATGAATAAAAATGAAAATGAATGAATATTCTAAGATGAATAAATATGAAAATGAATGAATATTCTAGGATGAATGAATATAAAAAGAAATGAATATTTTAGGATAAAAAATATGAAAATGAATAAATAATCTGAGATGAACAAATATGAAAATGAATGAATATTCTAAGATGAATGACTATGAAAATGAATGAATATTCTAAGATGAATAAAAATGAAAATGAATGAATATTCTAAGATGAATAAAAATGAAAATGAATGAATATTCTAAGATGAATAAATTTGAAAATGAATGAATATTCTAAGATGAACAAATATGAAAATGAATGAATATTCTAAGATGAATAAAAATGAAAATGAATGAATATTCTAAGATGATTAAATTTGTAAATGAATGAATATTCTAGGTTAAATAAATATGAAATTAATAAACATATAACTATAAGATAACTATAAAAAGGAATGAATATGGATGAATATCCTAAGATGAATATGGATAAATAATATAGGATGAACTTGGATGACAGTTTAGGACTGAACAGTAGAGAATACTGAGACCTTGTGTCCTTTAGAGATAAATTAATAATTCATCATTACCTTTATAGATAGATAAATAGATAGATAGATAGATAGATATATAGATAGATAGATAGATAGATATATAGATAGATAGATAGATAGATAGATAGATAAATAGATATATAGATAAATAGATAGATAAATAGATAGATAGGAAAAAAGCTTGAATTTCAATATATAAAGTTCCTTAAATACAATTTTATGGAGGGATCAGTGAAAAAATGGGGAAAAAATTGTTTTAGAAAAAACGCTCTTTTTGACTTTGTAATAAAAATGCAACGGCGATTCAGCTGTCTAGGTTTAAGCCAAAGAAAATATATTAATTAGTGAAGAAAAGGTGTATAAACCGCCATTTTGTTGAACTGTTTACATACTGCAGGTGTACTTCACACATTATAACCTTTTGGGCCCAATAGGGCATAGAACTGCTTTTTATAGAAAAAATGCTTCTTGAAATTTTTTTCTAAACTCAGCATGCATTTTCGAGTTTATTTCAGCATGAGGTACCGCTAGGAGCTAAGTTGATAGAAATAAAATTAATGTTCTTTTCAGTAAAATTTAGGCATACTACAGTGATACCAGAAAACTCTGGAATAGGAAGTCGGCTTTTAGACTCAAGTTATGGCTTTAAAAAGTTTGATGAAGATGAGGCACAGCAATTATATGCAGTGTAAACAGCCCCATTTTACTTTACACGTGATTTAAAAATCTAAGTAAAGCTATTTGATTGTTAACATCATCAAATGCACTTCAGTATTTCTATAATGTCGTCTTTATATTCTACAGTTTTCTGGTTATTACTGTAACCATAGCATATTGACCATAAAAATTATTACATTCGATTCATTTCTGAATTGTGTATCTATAAAGTAGTAATCTCTATTAGTATGTTTGTGTTTATATGATCGATCATAACTTATGAACTACTGGACCGATTTGCCTCAAATTTGTATTAGGGAACGTGGTAGTACCACAGGAATGATTTTATCTTGGTTTGAAGATTCTATATTAAATGGGTTGACGTTTATATGGAAAACTTAGCTTCCGAGGCAAAGCTGGGTTTCTACCCAGAAATATAAGTCAAAACATTATCTTTGTATTCAGAGCTCTGATCTAGATTAACAAGAAGTTTAATCCACTCAGAATCTGATTTATCTACTAGAGGATATGCTTTATCAACAGCTACAGAAGTTTTTTTGTATTGCTGGATAATTTCGTTAGCAATAGATCCATTATCTGGGATTTCTTCAAAGCTAGAGGTGTAAAATTCTTCTGTTGTCTATTCTTCAAATTTTCTCTTGTTCTTGGCTGAAACAAAAAAATTGCAATGTCTAAAATTAACAAATTCAGCACAAATTTTAATTTTTAAAACAATATAGAAAAAAATACTAAGATATATTTATGCACGCTTAAATACCCAAAATCATGAAATTGTGAGTAAAAATAGGCGATAAAAATTCTTTTACAATTTAACAATCGTTTTAATAAATTTCTAGTAATACCTGACTCAGGAGGAAAAGAGCTACTCTGAGGTATATCAGAACTCCTCTGTAGGAGAGTACAGAACTCATCTGATGTAGAACAGAACTCCCCTGAGGTAGAACAGAACTCCCCTGAGGTAGAAGAGAACTCATCTGATGTAGAACAAAACTCCCCTGAGGTAGAACAGAACTCCCCTGAGGTAGAACAGAACTCCCCTGAGGTAGAACAGAACTTCTCTGAGGTAGAACAGAACTTCTCTGAGGTAGAACAGAACTCCCCTGATGTAGAACAGAACTCCCCTGAGGTAGAACAGAACTCCCCTGAGGTAGAACAGAACTCCCCTGAGGTAGAACAGAACTCCCCTGAGGTAGAACAGAACTCCCCTGAGGTAGAACAGAACTTCTCTGAGGTAGAACAGAACTCCCCTGTAGGAGAACAGAATTACTCCGAGAGGGAACAGTGCAGTGGTAGGGTGTTCATGACTCAGAAGAATGTCTAAAAAAATATGAATGAAATATTAAAATACATTTTTAAAACAATTTCATTTTAAACCTTCCCGATGATATTAAGATATTGAAGCCCCAGTTGTTCTGTGGAAAAATTCGTTTACGAACCAAATAATTTAGGGTATTTTAAGGAATACAACAATATCTTTTAATTTAAAAGTGTTTAGAATCGTTATAACTAATAAGTGCAGGGTTTGGGTATTTAGGAAAACTCAGAAAATTTCAACAGCCTCAGACCAATACTTTTTGAGTTATGTTAAAAAAAAACTTTTAAATCCAGTATCCGCCCCTGTACATAAGTCAAGACTCACCCTCTCCATTATCTAGCTGTTCCTGTTGATGTGGATGGTGGGGAGGATGGAGACTGGGAACACCGTTATAAATTAACTTTCGTCCGGAAGCGTATTTGTTTTCAAAATGTTTCGCACAGACAACACTAAATTTTCCAGAAACCTGGCCTTCCTGTGAAGTTACTCCACGTTTTTTTTTAACTTTTCATCTTTTGGAAAAGAATGAAATCTTATCTGATATGTTTGATCCGTGTTACAATTTAGCACTGAACAATACCTCAAGCTTGTTTATACTGATAAATCATGTAACTGATCAAAACAAATCCCACCAAGAACAGTGTACTACATGTACACAATAACATACCAATACATGTTTACAATGTCATACCGATACTGGTGCCACCTGTTATTCTATAGTATATATATTCTGAGAACATTTTATAAAACAAAAACATTGAAGTTTATCCATCATTTATATTTGATTCTTAAAAAAATAACGTTACAAAAATAACTTTCAAATTGCGTGAATTTTCTCCTAAAAATGTAAAACAAAAATATAAAATATATTAAAGAAGATTAAATAGAAGGTATATTTTTAATATATTTAACAATGTATACCCCATTAAAGACAACTAAGAATTTTTAAATTATGCTAAAAACATTCCCGTGGTTCTACCGAGTTCACCAGTTAAAATTTGACGCAAATCGGTCCACGGGTTTCTGAGTTATGATCGGACATTTAAACATACAAACAGAGATAACTACTATATATATATCTAGACTAGCTAGCTTGAGAACCCAGCATTGTCCAATACCAGGGTACTCATAGTTAATCCCGCCGTTTACCCGCGCTTGGTCTTTAATTAAGAGTTTTGCTGTTTGACGCGCTTAATTTTGAATCTCAAAACCAAGCTAAGAACATTCCCGTCGGTCTCCCGAGTTTCTAAATCAAAAGTTAAGGCAAAGGACAAACAGACACCAAACAGAAATTGAAATCACGCAGTGAAAAAATATGGAAGAAATAGTTTAATTTAATTTTTATTATATAGCAAGTTTCCTCGATTTACAGAATCATGTTATCTTTGTTTTATCAAGGTTATAAATATTAATTTTATTATTTGAACCCGCTTTGATTGCAACAATATTTCATAAAGCTTATCTTTATTTTTATGTTTAAAGACTGTAGAAAGTAATAAACTGATCAAATATTTGCTACATTCTTGATGCTACCTTGTAATTTTCTCCGTTTAAAATTTGTGTTTGTATTATACAATTTATATAATATAAAACAAGACATTCGTATATATGTTCCCTTTAGCCGGCGGCCAAACGGCTGGACTGAATGGGCTGACATTTTTTGTGGACACTTATCGGTAACCTGTGGGTGACAAAGGGAATTTTAAAAATTTGGAATTTTTTTGTACATTTTTTTCACGCGCAACGTTGGGCCCTTCAGCTAATAATTTCTTAGACTTGAAATCAATACTGTAGTAAGTAAACATGATGCTGGCAACTTTTGTATGACTAGGTTTTCAAGGCGCTTCGCGCCAATTTTCTAGTAATATTGATAGCTATAGATTTTTTACAAGCCGCAATTTTTTATCGTACTCCAATAATAAGAAAAGTTTTTGCGAATTTTCGTTAAATTGATGGATTTTCCAAAAATCGTAATAGTCGACATTTGTTTCCATGCCCAATTTTTCAATTTGGACTAGACAAAAACCTGATTTCTGATTATTATTATTTTGGATGCATAAGATAGATACATAGATTCCATTTATTTATTTACTTTGTTTTATCATTACTTTTTCAGTAAGTTTTTTAAACAAAAAGCAATTTGCTGGTAGTCTCAAATTATGTCCCAATGAACATAAAACAACGTGCATTCCTTTATAAACAGCTGGTTTTTTGGTATGCAACAATTTTCATTTAATCCCGCCGGGATATTTTCATTGAAAGATACTTNTATTTCAAACAAAAGCAATTCACTATTAGTCTCAAATTATGTCCAATGAACATGAAACAAAGTGCATTGTACACAGACTTTTTTTGGGCGCGGAGACGGTTTCACGGGGCTCGGAGGTCAGCATATCAGGAGGCTACGTAGGTAATTTAGCGTGCTCATGGCGGCACTGCACCAGCACTGCACCCCCTCCCTCGTTTAAGAAATAAATACAGCTGATAAAAAAAATGATGACTAATGAGATAAACGGATTTAAAGAACAATCTTAAAGGAAGTGTAAGCGTAATTTCAAGCGACTCTCCATGCCAGATTAACACCGGTCCCTTTAAACCTTAATTTGATCTCAAATGTGGAAGATATCGTCGGGTTTTTCTGACTCGAAAAGTGTTTGATTATAGTTTTTCCATTATTTCTTAAAAGCCAAAAATGCGCAAGTCACTTTTGAATAAATATGTTCTACTTTCGTAGTTTGCCATATAAGATATTTTCATCGTCAGCCTGTGGACGGGTTACTGCTAAACATATACATCCCAGTTCTATTTTGAATTAAGAATCTGGTAAATTATGGATCCAATGAACCAGGCAAGAAAAATTCTTCCAAAAAAACCTTCTTTGAACTATTGGATAAAATACCTAAAATGATTATCCTAGGGTAGTGATGGTTAGTTACCAAGCTTTATAATAGGATGGAATAAAAGTGAAACGGGTTAATTTACATAAACATGTTTAGCTTTGAAAATCAAAATAAAATAAAAAAATTTTACAAAAAAATAATTCAAGAATACTATACTATGCAACCTTTCACTTCGGTAACATGATTAAAAATATTTTCTTTTATAAAACTTTTGCGGGAACACACAAATGCAAATAAACTAAAACATCAACATGTTTTTACGGAAAAATGATTGATGGAGGGTCATTTGAAATTACGTTTACAGTCGGTTAATTTTTTTTTAATCGTGTGAATAAATTTTATATAATAAAACTGAAACTTTATTAGCTTATTTCTGTTTCTGTATCTACCATCATTAACACCCTGTATTTAATTTATCTCTACATTAATCCCTCTGATCTCACCCTGCCACAGATCACCTGACAATCTCCTTCCTTCCAATTAACTCCTTGCCTATCCAAAAACATATCTTGATATGTGTAACCAATTATATTCAGTATCGTAAATTAACTTCGGCCCAACCACTCAAAACAAACAACCCTGGTTAGGCGGGTTGAATAAAAATATGAAAAATATTAAATAAACCTGCATAAACATTGGTGCAAGAATAAGTAACATTCTTACTATTGGTAAATCTAAATATAAATTATTACATTGAAATCTCCAAGTTGAAAAACACATTCTGAACAGCTAAATAAGGAAATCAAGACGGAGGGTCATTTGAAATTACGTTTACAGTCGGTTAATTTTTTTTTAATCGTGTGAATAAATTTTATATAATAAAACTGAAACTTTATTAGCTTATTTCTGTTTCTGTATCTACCATCATTAACACCCTGTATTTAATTTATCTCTACATTAATCCCTCTGATCTCACCCTGCCACAGATCACCTGACAATCTCCTTCCTTCCAATCAACTCCTTGCCTATCCAAAAACATATCTTGATATGTGTAACCAATTATATTCAGTATCGTAAATTAACTTCGGCCCAACCACTCAAAACAAACAACCCTGGTTAGGCGGGTCCAAACTGCATAGTAAATTGTGTTTTCTTATTTGTAATATCTCATGCTTTGTAGTTGAATAAAAATATGAAAAATATTAAATAAACCTGCATAAACATTGGTGCAAGAATAAGTAACATTCTTACTATTGGTAAATCTAAATATAAATTATTACATTGAAATCTCCAAGTTGAAAAACACATTCTGAACAGCTAAATAAGAAAATCAAGACCCTGAAATAATGTCCGTTTTTAGACTTATTATTATTATTATCATTATGTTTATTGTTTATATTAACAAATATGTTAAAAATTTAGATATTTAAATATATATATAGTTTAAATGATTACTGACAACAACAATAAAAACCTTTTTTAGTATTCATCTTCTATATTCATACTTTTCTCGTTTTCCTGTTAACGGCTGAACCGATTGGGCCCAAATTTTTTAATATCAACTCACATGACCCAAGGGAAGGTTTATATCAAACTAGACAAATTTTGTTTGAAAAAAAGTCGACAATTATAATTTTGGAAAAATCCGCCAAAATACGAGGATTATTTTTAATAACCTTAAGTTACAAGCTATAAATGATGATACGAATATGGGAAGCGAAGTGTCCTAAAAGCTTAGTTTATGAAAAAATAAGTAGCCACACCAATTGCGTCTTTATAAGGGGAATAGCGAGAAGGGTGTCGTTAGTTTTTAACATTTTATAAAACAAAAACATTGAAGTTTATCCATCATTTATTCTTAAAATAATAACGTTACAAAAATAACTTTCAAATTGCGTGAATTTTCTCCTAAAAATGTAAAACAAAAATATAAAATATATTAAAAAAGATTGAATAGAAGGTATATTTTTAATATATTTAACAATGTATACCCCATAAAAGACAACTAAGAATTTTTAAACTATGCTAAAAACATTCCCGTGGTTCTACCGAGTTCACCAGTTAAAATTTGAGGCAAATCGGTCCACGGGTTTCTGAGTTATGATCGGACATTTAAACATACAAACAGAGATAACTACTATATATATATCTAGACTAGCTTGAGAACCCAGCATTGTCCACTCCCAGGGTACTCATAGTTAATCCCGCCGTTTACCCGCGCTTGGTCTTTAATTAAGAGTTTTGCTGTTTGGCGCGCTTAATTTAGAATCTCAAAACCAGGCTAAGAACATTCCCGTGGTTCTACCGAGTTCACCAGTTAAAATTTGAGGCAAATCGGTCCACGGGTTTCTGAGTTATGATCGGACATTTAAACATACAAACAGAGATAACTACTATATATATATCTAGACTAGCTAGCTTGAGAACCCAGCATTGTCCAATACCAGGGTACTCATAGTTAATCCCGCCGTTTACCCGCGCTTGGTCTTTAATTAAGAGTTTTGCTGTTTGACGCGCTTAATTTAGAATCTCAAAACCAAGCTAAGAACATTCCCGTCGGTCTCCCGAGTTTCTAAATCAAAAGTTAAGGCAAAGGACAAACAGACACCAAACAGAAATTGAAATCACGCAGTGAAAAAATATAGAAGAAATAGTTTAATTTAATTTTTATTATATAGCAAGTTTCCTCGATTTACAGAATCATGTTATCTTTGTTTTATCAAGGTTATAAATATTAATTTTATTATTTGTACCCGCTTTGATTGCAACAATATTTCA